CAACACCACAACTCAAAAGCATCAACTCTTCTTCAGTCTTTATTCATTATCCAGCTTTCACATGCATATGAGGCAATTGAAAATACCTCGGCTTGGGTCAGGCACACTGTAGTCTTCAAAGAGACATCTTTGCTCTTCAGCACTTTAAAGAGGTCTTTTGCAGCACATTTGCCCAGTGCAATACATGGTCTGATGTCTTGACTGCTGCTTCCATTGGTGCTGATTGTGGACCCAAGCAATATGATATCTCTGACAACTTCAATCTTTTCTCCATTTATTGTGATGCTGCTTATTGGTCTAATTGTGAGGATTTTTGTTTTCTTTATGTTGAAGTGTAATCCATACTGAAGACTGTAGTCTTCAATGTTCATCAGAAGTGCTTCAAGTCATCCTAACTTTCAGCAAGCAAAATTGTGTCCTCTGCATATCACAGGTTGTTAGTGACTCTTCCTCCAATCCTGATGCCACATTCTTCTTCATATAGTCCAGCTTCTTGGATTATTTGCTCAGCATATAGATTGAATAACAATTGAATATTGAATAAGAAAGGATACAACCCTGACACACTCCCTTCCTGATTTTAAACCATACAGTGTCCACTTGTTCTGTTCAAATGACAGCCTCCTCCTGGTCTATGTACAGGTTCCTCATGAGCACAATCAAGTGTTCTGGAATTCCATTCTTCTCAATGTTACCCACAATTTGTTATGATCCACACAATCGAATGCTTTTGCATAGTCAATAAAACAAAAATAAACATCTTTCTGGTGGTCTTTGCTTTGAGTCAAGATCCATTTGACATCAGCAATGATATCTTTCGTTCCACGTCCTCTTCTGAATCCAGCTTGCATTCCTGGCAGTACTCTGTCAATATACTGCTGCAAGCATTTTTTAGTTTCTTCAGTAAGATTTTACTTGCATGTGGTATTAATGATATTGTTCAATAATTTCTGCATTCTGTGGGATCACCTTTCTTTGGAGTGGGTACAAATATGGATCTCTTCTAGTCAGTTGGTCAGATAGCTGTCTTCCAACTCTCTTGCACAACCGAGTAAGTGCCTCCAGTGGGGCATCCGTTTGTTGAAACATACTGATGGGTATTCCGTCAACTCCTGGAGCCTTGTTCTTCCCAATTCCTTCAGTGCAGCTTCGACTTCTTCTTTCAGTATCATTGGTTCTTGATCATATGTCACCTCCTGAAATGGATGAAGATCGACTAGTTCTTTTTGGTACAAAAACTCTGTGTATTTCTTCCATCTTCTTTTGATGCTTCCTGCATCTATCTATCTATATGAATATACATATATAGGCGCTCTGGTGGTGTAGTGCCTAAGGCATTTGACTGCTAACCAGAAGGCTGGTGGTTCAAACCCACCAGCCACTCCTTGGAAGGAAGATGGGGCAATCTACTTCCATAGAGATACCTCCTCAGAAACCCAAGGAGGGATCACTATGAGTTGAATTGACTGATGACAGTAAGTTTGGCTTTTTTTGTTTGTTTGTTTTTGTTTTTCTTGGTATATATGTGTGTGTGTGTGTGTGTGTGTGTATGTATATATATATGTATATGGAGCTCTGGTAGTATATGTAGTACCTAAGGCATCTGACTGCTAACCAGAAGGCTGGTGGTTCAAACCCCCCAGCCACTCCTCAGAAGGAAGGTTGGGCAATCTACTTCCATAGCGATACTGCCTCAGAAACCCGAGGAAGGGTTGCTATGAGCCAGATCTGACTCGATGGCAGTGGGTTTTTTATATATGTATGTACATATGTATATATATGAATACATGGGAGCTCTGGTAGCATAGTGGCTAAGGCACTTGACTGCTAACCAGAAGGCTGGTGGTTCAAACTCACAAGCCACTCCTCGGAAGGAAGATGGGGCAATCTACTTCCGTAGGGATACTGCCTCGGGAACCCAAGGAGGGGTCGCTATGAGTCGGGTCTGACTCGATGGCATATAACAACAACAACAACACAACAATATGAATACATATATAATTGAAATAACATTCAGGGGAAAAAAAAGTAGGCAACACAACGCAATGCAACTATTGCCATGGAGTCAGACCCGACTCATAGCAGCCCCTCCTTGGGATTTCTGAGGCGGTATCACTACGGAAGCAGATTGCCCAACCTTCCTTCTGAGTGGCTGGTGGGTTTGAACCACCAGCCTTCTGGTTAGCAGTCAAATGCCTTAGGCACTGCGCTACCAGAGCTCCCCCCCTCCAAAAAAAAAAAAAGCAGGAGGAACTACAACATGTCTCCAGAGGGAAGCAACAGATCAGAAACAGAGCCCGTCCGTCTGGTCAGAGACCCGACAGAGACCCAGGGGGTGACAGCCTTGAGCCCTAGAAGACAAGCACAGTGACACTTTCTGCCTGGGTGTGCCCTACAGTTTCTGGGGAGGCAAGTTTCCGAGCCCCTGTTCAGGAGGCACCAGACAGGGGAGGTGGGGTGGTGGGGAATGTTGTCTATCTATCAGCAGTAATACCTCTTCCATTGGCTATTCTCAGCCAATGCCCTCAGAGCGTCATCTCAGAAGGACTCTGGGCCTAAGCGCTCAGGCCAGACCCCCTCCCAGACTGTCCATCTGTCCAGCCAGCAGCTCTGCTAGGCTCAGGCCCTGGCGCTGCCTTTGCTGAGACAACCCTTTGAGGAGTGCTGGGCCTGGTGGGTCCACAGCACCCTCCCTGGCGGTACCATTAATCCTCGGAGGGAAGTCAAACATTAGCCCAGGGAACAGCTTACGTCTTATATAAGCCCCCCTGGGGGAGGCACAAACACTGCTTGTTGGAGCTGAGCTGTCCAACTGCAGCAGCTGCCGGAAGGAGACAGAGCAGGGCCCTCAGCTCTGTTGCCCACCAGCCCGACCGGAACCAGGCCCAGCCAGGTGAGGAGAATGGAGGCCCCAAGCCCAGGCCCCCAGGAGCCCCCAGAAAGCCCCCAAGGTCAGGCCCTGCTTCCTCAGTGCAAATGGCTAAGGCCTTCATGCCTCCTCAAGCCCTTTCAGCTGCCCCAGCCTGGAGACAGCCCAGGGGACAGCTCAAAGCCAGGAGGCTCTGGGCTTGAGGAGACCTTTCCCACAGTCCCTACAGCCCCTGCCCCAGCTTGGCAAGCTTAGCTCCACTGACCTTTGGTGTTTGCCTGGGGCCCAGTCAGGGTCCTCTCTACCCACCTCTTCCATCCGGTGCTGTGTAGCCTGCATTCAGGATTCAGGATGGGCAGCTTGGTCCCTGCATGTGTGCAGCACGTGTGACCAGCCTTGCAGCACACACATGATCACACCCACAAGTCCACACACACACACACATACACACATCAACTCACACAGCTGTACCTTATGTTCCAACCTTACTATGCACATACCAGTAGACACCCCAGTCCCTGCATGGTGGAATGGTTGACATTAGAGGACTAGCAGTGCCACAGACAAAAGGCCTGGTAATCTGTTCCCGTGAAGAGTCCAGCCAGGAAAAACCCCTGGAGCAGTTCTACTCTGTAACAGAAGGGGTTGCCATGAGTTAGAATCGACTCAACAGCCATGGGTTGGTTGGTTGGTTGGGTTTTTGTTTTGTAGACACCCTGCATACACATACCTGCACACATGCCCACAACTGTGATCCCACGTCTATACACACTTGGGTACCCCTGTGTATCCACACATAAATCTGTGGATACACAATCACAGGTCTCTGCAGACATGGTTCCACACGCTGGAGCTCACACACACACTCGTACACCCACACCCATGCACACAACCATACGTCACACCCACACGCATCCTGGCCTGGTGTCTTGCCCGCAGCGCTGGTTCATCCCGCCCGGTGCCATGACCTTCTCCGAGCTCCTGGACCGCTTGGGCGCCATCGGCCTCTTCCAGTTCCGACACCTGAGCTTGATCTGCCTCCCAATCCTGGGCCTGGCCAACCACATCCTGCTGCAGATCTTCACGGGCACCACCCCCCCACATCACTGCCGCCCACCCCCCAACGCCTCTGCAGGGCCCTGGGTGCTCCCCACGGGCCTGAACGGGAAGCCTGAGCAATGCCTCCGTTTTGTATACCTGCCCAACGGCAGCCTGCCCAACGGAACCCAGGGGCCCACGGAGCCATGCCTCGACGGCTGGGCCTACAACACCAGCACCAGACGCTCCATCGTGTCAGAGGTACGCCAGGTAACCCCCTCCCGGGCAGCCTGGAGAACACCCCTTGCTTACCGCAGGCGCCCCCACATGCCCTGCACCACGCGTGAGCAGGAGACGAGGCAGGGACCTAGTCTCCCTAGGATGTGAGGACAAGGTGCTGGGCAGGTTAGCGCCCCCCGGGGGCAGAGCAGAAGGTGCTAGGTGCTGATGCTTTGCAACCCGAGGCTTGCTTTCTTCCCACTCAGAGTCCAAGTATTTTATTCAGCAAACAGCAATGGGGAGCCATGCTTTGACAGGCACTGGCCCCTGCCCTGGGGATACAAAAATGAGCCATCTCAGCTCCCATAGCATCTGCAGTCTAGTGGCGGTGACCCCAAGTCACGGCAGAACCGCGCAAAGAAATGCAAACTACAGACACTCAACTCTGTGACCTTAGACTATGACCAGGGCTAGCCTGCGGGGGATGGGAGCAAGCTCCCTGGAGCCACCACATAATCCACCAATCGATGGATTGATCGGGCAGAGGTGAACCAGGCAGCGAGGGAAGGGGGGAGTGTCTACTTTGTGCGAAGTCTCCAAGGTGGAGTGTGTGTGTGAAAGGGGGCCTGGATGAAGTGGTGGTGTGGACACACCCATGGGCAGACCAAGAAAGTGGTTCACCTACCCCCACATTCACTCATGGGCCTACCCTCCCATTCATTCATTCATTCATTCTGTCATTTCTTCCTTTATTCACCCGCTCGTTCACCTGCCACCTCTGGGAGTCAAAGGGTTAGATCAGACTCCTCAGTGACCTGACAGGCCAGTAAAGAGCAGGGTGGGAGGGGGACGAGGAGATGGGAATTAGCACTTGGGGGGCAGCAGCTGAGCATCAGTGCATTTGGATACGTTGCAGACTTTGTCCCCTTTGACTCTCCCACCCTTCTCTGTTGACGGTGATTTTATGCCCTATTATGAATCAGAAACATTAAGACTCAGAGAAGGGAAGTACTTCCTTCTGAGCTGGCATTTAAAGCTGAAGCCCATACGTGGTTCAGGAGCATAAAGAAGGAGGGGCCATGGCACTCCTGGGAGGCTTCACAGAGGAAGTGGCTTCTCAGCAGTAAGCAGAGACTGTGTGTTGATTCTCCTCATTGGAGACCATGAGCTCCATAAGGCCTGGATCCTGCTTCTGCCTCATTAGAACAGCCCTTACAAGTGCCAGTCCTGGGCTGAGCACATGACACCTGTGGGCTCCTGGAATCCTGGGAAAGGTAGTATCTACAGGCAAAGTATTCTTATCTTCCATTTATAGACAAGGCGTGGGAGGCTCAGCCGGAGTTCATGACTTTGCCAGGATTTCACACAGCTAACACCTGGCAGAGGTAGGATTTGAATCCAGGACTACCTAGGAGCATAGCCTAGATGACTTACCCATTTGTTTAACAAATACTCATTTATATATAAAATGCCGACTATGTGCCAGGCACTATTGTATGTGCTTTACAAATATTAACGCTTTTAACCTTCCTGACAACACTGTAAGGTATTTATTATTATTATTATTATTATTATCCCATTTTCAGATGGGGAAACTGAAGCCCAGAGAGATTAAGTAACTTGCCCAAGTTTACACAGCTAGTATGTGGCAGAATCAGGATTTGAACGCAGGTACCCAGCTGCAGGCTCAGGCTCCTAACCATTACATTTGCTGATTTTCTTATCCCCTAGATTATATTTTCTCCCTGTCAGATTTGCATTTTCTCTTGGCCCCAAGCACAATGTCTGACACGCAACCAGTCACCAACAAATGTTTACTGATACCCACACGCATAATGAAGTCCCTAGGCAGCGCGAACGGTTAAACACTCAGCTACTAACCACAAGGTTGATGATTCGAACCAAGAAAGGCCTGGCAATCTACTTCCAAAAGCTCACGGCCATGAAAACCCTGTGGAACACAGTTCCACCCTGAAACACATGGGGTCACCATGAGTCTGAATTGAACTGATACGTGCATAACGCTGAGGACATAGATTCAAAGAATACCAGGAGCTCACCTGCAGTGGAGAGACAGCTGCACCCCTAGAGGATTACTGGAAGTTTTGCTGGGTGTGCCATTGCTGGTTGGCAGGGATTGGCTCACTCCAATATCTCCAGCTCTCAGAACAGTGCCTGGCACAGAGGAGGCATTCTGCAGGGGAACAGTGTGCAGTGGGTGGATGTGTGCTTTATACACTCAGAGGGCTCTAGGAGCCAGTGAGGGGCATCAAACCAGCCTGGAAGCACCACCAAGGAGGGCTTGGGAGTGGCAGTGCCTGCACTGACTGTGAAGGAGGAATAAGAGCTGGTCCCGGGGGAACATGGGCAAGGGCACCCCAGGGAAAGGGAACCGTGGGTGGGAGTCAAACTCAAAGTCACAGAAACTTGACAAGAACAAAACAGTTAGGGGGCTGCAAGGGCAGGAGAAGGCTGGAGGGTACAGAGGCCAGCTGAATTTGGGGCTGAAGGCTCCATGGTGCTAAGGTGACAATGTGCCCTCCATCCTAAGGGGAGAGTTAGCCACTGAATGGTGTTAAGAGAGACAAGCTCCAATCACATTCTAAGGACCATCACTCTGACTCCAGGATGGAGAATGGTTTGTATGTGAGTTGTGAGTCCAGCAGCAGGGAGACCAGTTAGCCAGTTGCCCCAGGGATCCAGGACAGAGATGACAGGTGCAAGGGACACTCAGCACAGAAAGGTTAAGGATCCAGAAGCTATGGGACTTGGTGACTGAATGGATGTGAGCTGAGGGGCAGGGAGAGTCAAACATGCCTCAATACCTGTAAAGAGGTTGCCAAATGTGTTGGTGGCCTGCTGTGCACCTAGTCCCTGGGAAGACAGAGAGACGCACAAGCCACCATGCATGCTCCCCCCCAAAAAATTAAACACTTAGTAGAAGAAACAAAAATCCTACCAGGAGCAATCATATATCAATCCTCACTAATATTTACTTTGTGCTTCCCGAGTGCCAGATGGTTCTGAGCACTCTGCACATATTGCGCTCGTTTAACCCCCAAACAGCCCTTATTCTTCAACAGCACCTTCCTCATCCCCTTCTTACAGATGATGAAACCAAAGGATCAGCCACTTGCCCAAGGTATATATTTTGTAAGTCATGCAGTTTGGAGTTTGCTTCCGAGTCCAAGCTCCTTAAGACAGCATAACCCCCTCCTCCACTGTACACCCTTCAGCTCCGAGAAGGGTGTTGGGTGGGCTGGCCTGGTCACAGATCTGCCTGCCCCCTCAGCTACAGCCACTGCAGGTCAGAAACAGGATCTTTTTCACCCATCCCTGCAGTCACAGGACTATGTACATAGTAGGAGTTCAGATGAAGCTGGTCATTCTCCCTCGAGCCTGGCTGGAGGACAGACATTGTTGGCTGCTGGGAAACAGCTTCCTTTCCAGGATCTGCCTCTGGCTCTGGGAGGCCAGGCCAAGAGCAGAAGTCACAGGGCCTATACAGTGAAGCATTAATTCACATCTGTACTAGCCAACTTCCCAGTCACCATGTCAGTAGCTGGGATAGTATGAATCTGCCTCCCAGCAAAACATAGGTTCCACTAAGTATGATGCCTCTCCTCTTGGTCAGTTTGGAATCAAGCCTGGCTCCCGAGAGTTCTCAGCCATGAAAGCCCATAGACAGGGCCTTTGCCTGGCAATCAAAGTGTTAGTGGCCATGTCCAGCCAGCCACTGGTATCAGCACAGTAAGGGAAGCCACTCTGTTTTTTCTGTCTGTGGTTCAAACTAAGGCAAGCCCATGTTCCATCTGCTTGGGTGGGGTAAGGTGGGTTCTCATTCCCCATGTGACAGAAATAGAGCAGTGGCTGGACTGGGGTGGGCTCTGACATGGAACAGGGCACTGGATGGGCTGACGCTGGCTCACTGTTGTTGTTAGATGCCGTCAAGTCGGCTCTGACTCGTAGTGACATTACGGATAACAGGAGAAAGGACTGCCTCATCCTGCACCATCATCATAATGGTTGCTAATTTGAACTCATTCTTGCAGCCTCTGTGTCAATCCATCTAGTTGAGGCTCTCCCTCTTTTTCATTGACCCTCTACTTTACCGAGCATGATATCTTTCTCCAGCAATGGTCCTTCATGATGACATGCCCAAAGTAATCTCCAAAGACATGTCCAAAGTGATGAGGAAGGTGGGGACACCTGGCAACAAGCTGGGTCCAGATGGCTCTGGTCAGCTGAGCCAATGGTCCACCTCCCAGACCAACAATATGGGATCTTGAACTACGGTCAAGCAGCCAGTATTCATCTCCTAACTCTGCCATTTAATCGGGATGTTGAAAGTCTCAGTTTCCTCATCTGTAAAATGGGATAGGAGAGCTAGCATAAGGATTAAAGGGAAACACTTAGCACAGGAAGGAGGTCTGGTGTGCTGTGGTTAAATCATTGGACTGCCAACCAAAAGGTCATTGGCTTGAACCCACCAGCTGCTCTGCAGGAGAAAAATATGGCAGTCTGCTTTGATCAAGATTTACAGCCTTGGAAACCCCTGTGGGGCAATTCAACTCTCTGATATGTGGCCTATATGAGTTGAAATTGACTTGATGGCAGTGGGTTTGATTTGGGTTTTGTTCTGTTTTGTTGCTTAGCACGGGGCTGGCACCTATGAACCACTCAGTTAATGTTAGCTGCTGCTACTGTGGTTGTGGTTGTGGTTGTTGTGGTTGTTGGTAGGGTTGCCCTGAGAACTAGGGCAGGAGGTGGGCACTGGAGACAGTCCCAGCCCTTCCCAGCTCACATAAGCCTCAAGGTTTCTCCTCACTCTGCCTCACTGCACGGCCCCCACGTGGGCCACCTGGAAACAGCACAGGCTTGGGCTCAAATGCCACAGCATCGGTGACCTGGTGAGTCACCTCCTCCTCCTGAGACTATAAGGAACTTACCTCTGGGTTGTGTGAATCCTTTGCTGCTGTAGTGTGTAGTGAATGAGTCCAGCATAGGGTCTGCTGGGGGGTGGGGTGGGGGGAGGCTGCTTC